GAACCTGGACCAAATATATACAAAATAAGGCGCTAACTATATTACCACATGAGATGTTATGAATTAAATCTAGATATAAATATATATAATATATTATTAAATAAATAGTTATATAATTTTTTTTTTATTTCGAGCCAATTCGAGCTAAACACGAGCGAACAAACTTATATTCGTGTTCGGCTCGTTTACAATTCAAGCTTAAAAATTTGTTTGTTTTCGGCTCGTTAAGTTTAACGAACGAGCCGAACGCGAGCTAATTAACGAGCCGAACACGAGTTGTTCGCGAACAACGAGCCAGATTGACAGCCCTAGCTATGGACAGTAAAACCCGAATAGAATTGATCTTGGCTACCGGAGCAAATGTCGACTGATAGTCAATTTCATGAGTTTGAGTGAATCCATTCGCTACTAATCTTGCTTTATATCTTTCGATACTCCCATCAGTTTTGACTTCAGTTGTGAAGACCCATTTACACTCAACAATAGACTTTTTTCTTGGTAGAGTGACAATTTCCCAGGTCTCATTTTTTAGAAGAGCATCAATCTCTTCCTTTACTGCTATTCTCCAATTTGGATAACTAAGAGCTTCGAGATTTGGATAACTAAGAGCTTCCTGTATTGTTCTAGGTTCAGACAGATTAGAAATTTTTAACAAAAAAACTTGATGTTTGTGTGAGATTTTTTGTAGGATAGGTATTTTGAAATGAAATATTTGTTGTGGAGTGTCACGACAAGTAGATTGATGAATTATGTCTTTGTTTATTAAGAACTCCCCTAAGCATTCATTAAAATATTCAGTTCCATTGTCAGATCTAAAGATGCATATTTTAGTTTCAAATTGAGTTTCAATCATGTTGTAAGTCTTTAAAAAGTTTTTTAACTTCTGATTTTTTTGCTTATAAGATAAACCTAACATATTCTGGTGTGATCGTCAATAAAAGTCACAAATCTCCGTTTTCCATATAATGTTTTGACTTTTGAAGGTCCCCAAACATCACTATGGATCATGTAAAAAGTTTTTGAAGGATAGTACGATTTTGGAGCAAAATTTATGCGATAACTTTTTGTCAAATAACATGTTTCACTTTCACATTGAAGTAAATCATAATTAATACCCTTAAACAAATTAGGAAATAAATGTTTTAAATAAGGAAAACGTGGATGACCTAATCTAAGATGAGATTCCATTATTTTCTCTAAGGCAGGGTTCGACCTCATACTGCTGTAAGCTTCAATCTCCTTTTTTTTAGCAACAGTCTCCTCAAAGTATAAAGTCCTTCTATCTTTTTAGCTCTCCCAATCATCATCCCCGACTTCTGGTCCTGCAAAACACAAGAAGATTCACAGAAAATTATACGGCAGTTAGAATCTTTTGAAAGTTTGCTGACGGATAGAAGATTACATTTGAGTTTTGGAACATGAAGTACATATTTAAGATCTATACTCTTGGACAGGTTACTGTTTCTTTTTTCAACAATGGAAGAGAAACTACTGTCAGCAATACGAACATTTTCATGGCCAGAACATGGGATGTATGTATGAAATAAATAGTGTAAATTTGTCATGTGATTAGAAGCTCTAGAATCAATAATCCAAGGGTTTAGTTGTCTACCTGTATGTACCATTGAACGATTTGAAGTAGATTCAAGAGTTGATCGATTTGCTCTTTGCTAAATGGGCTGGTTTGTTCGGCAACAGTATTAGCAGTAGGTGGCTTGCGCTTGTTTCTTGGCTTCCAATCTGCAGATTTACCGTGGAGGTACCAGCAGATTTCTTTAGTGTGTCGTGGCTTGTTGCAATGATCACACCACACTCGTGGTTTCTCCTCATTTTTCTGTAAATATGGAACAGTCTGCTTGCTGATATGAGCCTCTGATTGAAATTCCGAAGTCTTAGGTCTGCTGGTAGGAGTGAATTTCTTGTTGAGCATTACTTTTCTTCGAGTTTCTTCACGGAGAACTTCTGAGAAAGCCTCATGGATTGAAGCCATGAGACTTCTTTCAATTATTCTGCCCCTAACCTCATCAAACTCCTCATTATGTCCAGCAAGAAATTTAAAAATTCTATTTGCATCAACAATGTTCTTATCCCTACTAGCATCATCAGGACACTTTCACTCTTGATCATTGAACAGATCAAGGTCTTGCCATATTCTCTTTAAGGAATTAAAGTATTTTGTGACAGAGTCATTACCTTGACGAATATCACCAAGTTTCAGGGAAAGTTCTTAAACCTGAGATTGGTTACCCATGCTGAATACATTTGGGCCACATTCTTCCAAAGCTCTTTGGCAGTAGGGTAACACATGTAGTTTGCGCTTATCTCTTCTTCCATTGAGTTTACCAACCATGTCATTATCACGGAATTTTCTGCATCCCAGGTTGCGTAGGATGGATCTATAGCGGCTGGCTTACAGACTTCCCCTGTTAGATAACTTATTTTCCCTTTTCCTCTAATGTACATCCTCACCGATTGTGACCAGCGTAGATAATTATCACCATTGAGACGGATTGTGGTGATCTGGGCTGGATGATTTTTGGTGGTGGTTCTAGAGGAGGGTGGTGGGGAAGTAGATGACATGGTGAAAGACTGAGTAGAAGTAGCAGAATCATTTATATTTTCAGGCATGATAAAAAAAATTGTACGGCTTTGCAGTGGAGAGGTAATATTTCGCGAATCGCGAGCTTGTGGGCAGCGAAATAGATTATAGCAACAGTGACGTGAAAGGCTTCGTCGTTTGTGATCCTTCCGTCAGCAGCGTCGCCCGCGCTTCTTCGCTTTCTTCGCGTCACCGAGAGACGATCTTCTTCCGTCACCGAGAGACGGACTTCCTCGCCTTCCTTTGAGGCAAAGAAGAACAACACCCGAGAGACGAACTTCCTCGCCTTCCTTCAAACCGAAGAAGAGCAACGCTTGCTTTTGTTACCTAGAGACGATCTTCTTCACGCTGGCAGGGTTCTCCGCAATTTTTTTTTTCTCCCGCTCTGTTACCATAAAAACAGAAAGTGAAGAGAACATTTTTTTCTTCTTATTGATTCAATTAAAATTGCCTTTACATATAGGAGTCCCTCTTCCTTAGATAAGGAAACTAACTAAATAAGTTTAAATAATTTTCTATTACATTACAGAACTAATTAAGCAAGATTTGGTACAAATATCACATGATATAAATAAGGAAGGAGAATAATATCTGTATAAAAGGAAAGACAATAAATATTATAATTTGAATTAAATCCTTCAACATGCATTCAGAGCACAACTAATATCAGGGATAATTTGTGTTACTGAGGGCATAAGGGTACATCCTCAAACTATTGCAGGAGTTTTACGATACCGTGATTTGGAGGCACTCAGGAGTATAGAAGACATACTGTCGATTGTCTGCAGAGCTATATTTGGCGTGAACGCTTAGAGATTTAGATGATATGTTGGAGAGATATGATGTGTGCCAACGACATAACTATTTTGACTATGACACCTGAAGGGTTACTGTTGTGAAGGTATGGGATGAGGTGACCATGGGTTTTACAGAAGGATTTCCTCAAACTATCGCTCTCGTGTTCATACGGGAAGTTGTTTGTTTGCATGGTGTTCCAAAATTCATTTTATAAGACATGACCAAGATATTCCTTAGCCATTTATGGAAGGAACTGTTCAGATTACATGGGACAGTCTTCAAGAGGACGACAACATATCATCCTCAGACAGATGACCAAATTGAGGTACAGAAGTGTGGAGCGTACTTATATTATTTTGTATCTGATACACCGAAGCTTTGAGCAAGGTGGATTGCTTGAGTTGAGTATTGATACAACATTTCATACCATACTGCAACACAGACCACTCATTTTAGGATTTTTGTACGAGTAGTGTCCACCTCACCTGATAAACTTGGCATAACACTACGCCAGTCTCCAGTGTAGATCAATATTTAGAGGAGAGGGACATGATATTGATAGAGCTCAAGAAATATATATTGAGACCCAATGGATCATGAAGAAGCAGGTTGATGGACATACGAGGGAAGTATAATTTGAGCCTTTGGACATGATTTATTTGAATGTGAGATTCTATCGGCAGAAGACACTAGCCAGGAGGAGCGAGAAACTTTCTCCACGATATTTTGGACCCTATGAGATTGTGAGATGTATTGGGGTAGTCACATATTATCCGAGGATACCACTGTCATTATTACTACATCCAATATTTCATGTATCACAGTTGAGGAGTGCTATCGGAGATCACACACCCTCGTTTCCACAACTTCCGATGTTGATAGAGGATTTGAAGGTGGTTTTGGAACCTTTAGAGGTAGATAGGGTGTGCTGAGTGATTGTGGTAAAAGAGGTGTTATTTAAGTGGAAAGATCTGCTAGATTATGAGCCTTATGAAGTAATCTAGAAGTAGTTTTCATTATTCTACCTGGAGGACAAGGTACTTCTTTGGGAGAGATATTGTTGCGCTGGTCCCTTTTGGACTAACCTGGACCAGTTTCGCGAGCTGGCCCAACCTAGAGGGGTGGAAACCTCTTTTTCTTTCTGGGAGGATTCTAGCCCCCAGGTGGGTTCTACTAAGCCCCTAATCACGTATTCGAGGGGAGGAATTAGGGGAGCTTTACAGGGAAATCTTGAATGTGTTTTGAGGGCATTTTTTTCGGGCTAATCACCTCGTGTTGGCTTCCATGTTTGGATTCCTGCTTTTTTTGTCTCTTGTTCCTAGCGGTATCTAGGGATTGTGAATAGCCGATCTACCCCTCGGATTGTAGATCACCTATTGTATCTTATTTATTTTTCTTGGAGATTAATCAATTTTGCCCTCTTTTGAGTTTTTCCACGTATTTATTGTAATTTGTTCGCTGATTTTGGCTTCGATATGTACCAAATTCCTGAACCTTTTTTAACATCCTGCCAAAAGCATCTGAGAATAAATTCATTTATTTAATGCAAGTTGAGAAGTGTTATGTATCTTGATTTGTATATATGTTATGCTGTCTGATTTAGCCATCCAGAACAAGATGAAATACTCCAAGCTATCTATCAACGAAGAGCAGAGTTATCATCTAATCCATCAGGACCACCTCTGCGTAATATCATGCTGAGATCAACAACTTTTACCGAGGGAAAGTTGAGGTGTGGCTTGTGTTTTGATTTAAAAAAAAAAAAAGATAAAATAAAATTTTTTGGTTTAATTTTCTTGGATGCTGTTATTTGATTAACCATCTAACCTTCATTAGAAGAGAATGACTAGTTAGAAGAGAATGTCTTTCGTTTGCACATTTCCCTATTTTTATCTTTTTTCTAGTCAAATTTTTATTGGCTGACTTCTTGGTTCCGATGACTTGGTTATCCCAGTGCATCTCACAGTGAACCTAATATTGCAAATGCTTTTTGGAGAAGCTCTCGAAGGAAAGCTGTTGCTGAACAACAACGCACATCAAGTTCAAGGTAAACTCTTCTGAGCATTTTCTTCTGATTGCCTTCTTGAAGAATTAGTAATATCCATCTAAAAGATTTGACATTAACTCTTGGGATTGGGGTGTCATTGTGCTTTGCTTATGAATTTCAAACCTTATTCACTTGTTTTAATAGGGCTGCAAATCCAACTTCCTCATCGGCCTTCAAATTATGCTCCTAGGATTGGTTTCAGTTTAAGGGGATAAATATCATTGAAAAGTTAAAATGTATTCTTTCTTTGACTGAATTAACAAAAGGCGCTGTAATTAGAATGAGAGCATTTCCTTCTGTTGCAATAGTTGTTGGGGTTCAGCATTCCATTTTAAAGCTGTAAATTTCTGGTAATGGTGAAACCTTATTCATCAATGAAGTACTCTTTAATGTTTTATGCTAAAACCTATCATTTGAAATTTCTGAGTATTGCCTTTTTTTTTTTTTTTGGTTGGGGTTGCAAAACTTCACAGAGTTTGTGATCCTTCAGCTGTTGATATGAAGTGCTACTTGCTTAAGTTTATTTGAGCGAAATTTTAGGTGGAAATTGCACCAGTTACTTTCCTATGAGTTCAAATTAGATTGCTTTATTATGCATCATTCTATTGTGCATAATCTATAATATAAAGTTATATTTATTTATATTTTAACTTAATGTATCTAGCCCCGTGATGCTATTTATTTTAGCATTTTAGACTTTTCTTTATGTCTCTAATGTATTTTTCCAGCATTTTCTAGTTTTGGAACCATTTATGATTTTGGTTTGGAAAGGGCGCCATGTTTAGGCCCTTCAACAACATTGTATCTGTATCTTTTTTTCTAGTTAATATATTAGCCTTTTGGCTTAATTCATGAAAAATATATAAGAGGAGTATTTATAATACAAATACAAAGTGTGGAGGGCCCAAACATGGTACCCTACCCACTAAAAAACCACAAATGGTTCCAAAACTAGAAAAAACAGAAAAATACATCAGAAATAAAACACCTAATAGTGTCGAAATACATAGTATCAGGTGGCTAGAGAGCGACCCAATTTATTCTTGTCTCTGCCTCTAGTTCTAGGAAAGGAGTAAGCTATTAAGCTGGTAAGATGATTGTCATTGCCAGAAGTACCCAATGTATCATCCAATATGTTCCCGAGCTGCAGTCTTCCTCCATTCTTCTTCTTCCTTTTGTAATAGACTGTCATTCCTCTTCCGAAGAATCAGTCTGATGGGGTGGTAGAGTTGGAGCAGAAGGAATACCAACCATAGTAGCCACAATAGGTTCTAGCACATGTGAAGTATGAGTTGCCTCTACACCGAATACTTCCTGAAGAACTAGAGCTGCGAAACTCTACTGAGTATCAGTCTGAACACTTTTATTTGTGGGTAACAGTCCATCAGTATTGTTTTCTATGGGGTTTGAAGGTGCCAACATCACATCACTCGCAGTAATAGTAATAGTAGTGTCATGAGGGGGGTCCTCAGGGGCAACAGATACCATTTGTCTGGTAGTTATTTTCCCCAGGTGGAACTAAAATGTCCAGAGCAATGGGGTTAGACCCATCCTTATTCACTTGAACATTAATTTTCAAATTAGGATGGAGCTTGTAGCATTTATCAAGGATATGACCAAACACCTTACAATGGGTACTAAATATGGGGGTCTGTGTGCCAAGACGATTTGTTGCCAATTGTAGGTTGTGCTCAACCAGACTTCAGTAACATCCGGTAAAGTAATATCTCTTTCCACAAGTATTTTGGCCATCAAAGGTCTGGTTAGGTTGAAAGTAGACAGATATAGCTTCAAAGGATCCCCTAGGATGACCCCAATAGAGTAGAGAACTTGATGGTGAAAAAAATGCAGTTTGAGACCAGGTAAACTAAACCATGTCAGTACAGTGAGAGTCATGATTTGGGTCGAAATCAGGAGACCACTTGAGTAACTTCATAGCTTTTCCTGCAATATTAAGGTATTTCTTGGAGAAAATTCTAGTGTAGTGTTCAATCATTGTTAGTTGGATCAACACATGTCTCCTATCCATAAGTCTCACCTTCCTCTTGCCTACTAGCTTAAGATCATCTACGCTTTCTGATAACCTTATAGGGTGGGGTCCCCACTGAAATTTTTCAATAAGAGCAAACTTGAATTTTTCTGTCAGGGTAGAAATTTCTGATCAGAGAAAAAAATTGTTGATTTCCCACCCTTCCAACTTCCCTTCTTAACAAAAGGACAGCCATCACTGTCATCACGACATTCCTTATAGTTTGAGGGGAATACCACCGCGGACTCCACTTGGGGGTTTCCCACCACGTGGGCAAAGAAAGCCTTTGGTTCAGCAAAAGAAGAAGGAAGTGCCATCAGAACAACCAGCTATCACCTGCAGCAAGAAGCTTGCGTCGGGCTGGAGAGAAAGACAGGCGCAAAAAAACAAAGATCGGGCCGAAGAAAAGCACTGGCGCAGACACAAACAGAAGAAATGTCGAAAATGAAGGAAAGACGCAGAAATTGGACGCCGGCGCAGCAAGACGAGCCGCAATGACTTCGTCAACCACGCTCTGCTAGAGTTTTGCCTTTATAGCGAACCTTGGTTTCTGCTCCACTGCATCCTTTCGTCAGTCACACTCTGCTTGTCATTCGTCGTTTTCGTCGATTCCGCCTGTTTCGCCGTGGTCGCCGTGTGTCTTCAGCTGCTCGCTTCGTCGTACCAAGCAGACATCACGTTATGTATATATATATATCCCAAGGGCTGATTTTATTGAAATAGAAAATGATACATAAATGTTGTATGAGAAGAACCCAAAGAGGCACCCTACCCATACTATACAATTACATAAAAACTCCAAGAAAAGGTACATATAGACTCAATAAAATTAAAAACAAATTTAAAACATGCAGAAAACAGTAGCTAGGGACGAGTCAGTTTAGTCATGCCTCTTCCTCTAGTTTTAGGAGCGGAACTGGATAACAAGCTTTGAAGAGTCGTGTAATTGCCAAAAGTCACCAAAGTATCATCCATTAAGTTTCCAATTTGGAGTGAGCCCCCAGGCTTCTTCTTCCACCGAGAAGTGTAAACCTATTATTTTTCATCTGAAGACTGACTCATATGATCCTCGATCTGATTTGATGTTTGAACTGCAGTAGGAGGAAAGACAGTCGTTGTCACCGAGATAGGTTCCAGTGTATGTGAAATGTGAATTGTTACCTTTGCACCTGATGCTTCCTGAATAGGAGCTGCGGAACTATCCTGATTTTCAGTTCAAACATTATCCATTTTAGTATGGTCAGGAGAAGGGATCCCAGGGCCAGACACCAACTCCTATCTTGCGGTGTTTCCCTCCTCAGGTTGGCTGTCATCAGGTTTGTTGGGAGCGTGTTCAAGCACAAGAGGTGCGCTAACAGTGTGTTCCTGCTTTTGACTATTGATTCTCAACTCTGGGTGCAATTTGAAACGTTTCTCTTGCGGGTGTCCAAACATCTTACAGTGCTTGCAGTAGTGTGGTTTTTTTTTCTATAATGATTTTTTGCCAATAACCATTGTGAGCAGATCCAAGCCAGATTTTTTCTACATTCGGTAGTGTAATATTTCGTTCAATCAAAATCTTTGCAATAGAGGACATTGAGAAATGAACTGTAGTCAAATTGCATATTATGTAATTGTAAAAATTGTAAATTCACGAGTTGTTTTTGGAAACCTATTTGGAAAAAAATATAAACACAATTTAAAGTTTCAATAACTTATCATCCACAAAATAAATGGAAAAGTTGAAAATCAAGAAATAGGAGTTTGGTTGATTTGCTATGTTGTTTCATAAAAAAAACTTCACATTCAATTAAAATTTTGAACTTTTCTATGGCTGAATTTGGATACAATTTATCGTTCAGTTAGTCAATTAGATTTACTCCATTTGAGATTATAATAGGATTTCAAGCTAAAGCATATAAATCTTGTTGAGTTTTCTATTGATTCTAGACCTAGTGTATTGGTATAACATATGCATGAATTTTATGATGATATTCACATAAAATTTACCATTCGCTCTGTCAATTACGAGCTTTCTACTAATGTGAATAAGAGTTTATGGAGTTTGGTTATAAAGAAATGATGCATTTAAATTTGGAAAGGCTTCATTCAGGAACTTAAATGTGAGAAAGTTACACCCATAGAAATTTTGCAGCCCATTGGATTTAATATCTATAAATTGAAAATTCCAGGGAATTATGGTATTTATCCACTTTTCAAGGTATTTAATTGACCGGTCATGGACATTGTGTCAATTCTTTGAATTTTTCTCTTTCCATCCCATCTTTGTGCATATGCTAGTTTGCCAGATAATTCTATGCAGCTTGTTTATGAAGTTTGTTTGGATGATGATATTGTCCATGATTTCTGTTAAATTGCAAAATATATTGTACAATAGTGTAATAGACCTAGTTATATTGACTCATGGATTAGGATTATTTTGTCGGGGCAGATGTTTTTTTTTTTTTGCTTAATTTGCTTGTTAGATCTAAATGCTAAATTCATCGAAGCTGAATTTGTCTAACTAGGTAGATTTGATGGAGATTTGTATACTTTTACTTGTTAGAGTGATTAAGTAATACATGATTTTAAAGTTTTATTCAGTTTTTTTGTACAAGTAATTTTGTTTTGTAGCCTTCATTTTTTTTTATTTGGAGCATGCCTATGATAAATGCTCATAAGGATGAGCTGTGTTCTCTATCAATTTGATTCCTAGTGATAAATTAATTTGTTTTGTTCAACATGGGACTTTTGCATGGTTGTTCCCAAGTTCAAATTTGTTGCTTATGACTTTGAACTAATTGGTTTTCTGTATTTTAGGTTTAGCGGTTCTTGAATTATTCAATTTCTGGAATAATTGTTTCCTGATCTGTCACATTTAACTAACATTACTTCTCAATAGAAGTGGCTTTTGTTGATTTCAAGTGCCATTATTATGCTTAAATGTCAAAGGCGGCTGCTTCATGTGAAACTGAAGGCTCTATACTTCCACTATTTCTTAGAAGCAGTGGATTCACATTAGTTCAATTTAGCATGTTTGGCGTGTTTGAGGGTTGCATTTGTAGTGGAATATATTCCAAGAGAATATTTAAAATTTTGATGCGTTGAACATAGAGGTTTGTATATCTGGTTGTGAATATTTGGCTTTGCTATTAACTGTGACAGATTTAATGCCAACCGTAATTGCAAATCTCAGAGCCGAAGGTCTATACATTGATATTCTAGGACATTTAATTAGATAAACTTAAATGAATACTTTCTTTTTTTAATTTTAAATTTTGTTTGTGGATGTTTAATTTCTTTTTAAAATTTTAAAGTTTGTTTGTGGATGTTGAATGTTTGATTCCCTAGAGTGCAGTCCAGGTGTATTAGACCTAACTTTAAGCCATCTTGCATAAAGTGTTGCCTCATATACAACCACCACACAAAAAACCCACCTGCCCAACATATAGTAATCATTTCCTAAATGTTGGAGGTTGCATTGCTTCCTTCACTTTTTTTTTCCCTTACGATAGAAATCTATCCTGTGTATTTTATTATTTGAAAGAAAGGCATACATCTAGTTATATGTACATAGTCATGGGGCCATTTATAGATAAGCATGTTATAAGGGGTCAATTACAGATTGTATTCCGCACCAATACCTAGTGAATATTCAGTTGAAGGTCTTAGACCAGAATCAAATCCTTGACTTCTTCATATCATTTACACGAGCTCTTTTGTACCTCTATTGCTTTGGTGCAAGTGTGTGTCGATTTATTTATTTATTTACTTATGGTGGAATCTGAGATCCTACGTGTACAAAGGGAAATAAAAGTTTGTTCCATGCTATACAGCTGTATACAAAAGGTTGACTTTCTTGCGATTCTTTTCATACTTTAAAAAGGCTGTTTCATGATGATTGCACTTATGTCTGTTGCATTTCATGTCAATAAGCAAAAGTTGGGATGGCCTCTATACATCAGAATACACTGGCATAAATATCTGGAGATTGGATATTGACTACGAAATTAATTTCCTTATGTTGTAACATTAATGGATTATTACATCATTACATTATTACATTGAAAGGTATGCTACATTTATTACTGTCGTGCTAACTGTCCCCTAACTCTTTTCAATTTGAAGTGTTTTCTTTTTGAATGGTATATTGTTTTCTATAGGACTATGTACTTCTACTGCTTGATTAATGCTTATTCCCTTATTCTAATGTACTAATAACCATATGATATCATTTTCTTAAGTTGATTTATGAATAACTCTTGCAGTCCCGAGCATCCACTTTCCAAAGCACGTGTTCGATCCATGCTTGGTGGTGATAGGCAATCATTTACAGAATATGGTGCTGCTGGATCAAGGTTTGTGATTTTTTTTTATTGATGCTTTCTTTCATTTAGATTGGCTTTAGCTGAAATTATTGAGACGTGCAGTTTCAGTTTATTTTTGAAAGAGCTTGCATGTTGATTTTTTTTTTTAATACGGTGTTTAATCATAACAACAAAAGTGGGATTAAGGCTTTGTTGTTGTTGTGGTTGGTGGTGGTGGTGTTTAAACATCTGATTCAAAAAGTCCTTATTTGTAATTGATGGTCAAACTTGATATCGTTGCTCTCATGAAAGCGTAGCCTGTTCTGGAAGAACATATAACCATTAAATTTGTTATGCCGCTTGTATGATCTCCTGATGACTAGCCCAAATCTCTTGTTAGTCCTCATCAGTACCATTCATATCCTTCAACCCTTCAAATTCAACTTCTGTCGGCTGCTTGGCTGTGATCAACTGGTGACAACAACTCAAAGCATTTGTTAACCTATTATGCCTCTAAGCTTTATGTTTGAGCACAAAATGAATGCAAGAAAGGTACTCTAATTCAAGTATCTCAGGTCTTAATGATGAATATAGAGAGTGAACTTTCTGCATATTCTATATGATAAGCTCATGGACACTTCATTGGGGATTCTACTTGGTTCATGGTTGTTTTTGGCAACTTAAGAATGGAGGTTTTGAGAATTGGTTGAATGTGAGTTGAGCAAGGGTTTAGGCTGGAGAGTGGGTGTTGGTGGAGGTAGATGGATTATGTTATGTGGATTTATGCTTTGGAAATGAGATTAATGGATCTCTAAGGATTTAGGATTTATATAGTTCTGAAATCAAATAATACTGATATAGAGTTTCTAGATGGTATTTAAAAATCCGTAAATGGTTGTGATATTTGTAAGGTTTGAATGAATTGGGTAAAACCAGAAAATAATTGTATTTGGAAGGATGTAGGATAATGAGGTGGAAGCAGCTGATGTAGGAAAACTGTGAGGAAAGGAAGGCCTGCAATTGGAGGTACACGTACGTCTAAAAGGATCTACCGCCTATTGTACCTGAAGCTACAGACGTACTACTTGATGGAGAAAACGACCATATATTCCAAAGAAACCAAAATTAAGTTAACAATCTCTAATAGCATAAAATAAGACAGAAGTCACATAACAAGCAAATTATTTATTCTAAGGAAACCAAAATAACCATTATTATTATTCTTACATATAGAAAGTATGACCCTAAGGGCCGGCCTGCCAAAAAACCTGAACCAATCAAGATCTGGATCTGGTTTCGCCTAGAATGTGTGTTATGTTGCTGGTACTCCAGTTTTTGTTGCAGGGACTCGATTGAAAGATGAATGGATTTCAATGAAGTTAATTTATTTTGGATTGAAACAAGAGGGCACAAGCAGATGTTAGCAGTGCTTAGTCATGGTGATTATATATCAGGTTCTTTTTATATAGGATTATCATTGGGTGACCTTGACCTTCTAGTATCTGGATGATTGAGCAATTGTTTTTTATAGAATCTATCACCTGAGGTAGGCCAGGCTCCACTCTTCTCTGAGTAAAAAAAAAGTACGTTGTTGATTGCTTTGTCACTTTTTTTATAGGCTTCAACAATTTTTTTGCTTCCTTTTAATTTTTTTTATTACTTCTTATTAGTTAACAATGTATTTTGTAACAGCGTTTTACTCAATAAATGATTACTCTCCGATTTCTTCCTTGTTGGCCTTGTGGTGCACCTTGTACATAGACATTTCTATATCTCTTTTCCAATCGTCTTTTGGTGTACTGCGTGCTTAAGCAGTTTTATAACCCATATTTTATATGGCAGTTTTTGGTGATTTGGTTGTCTTGGAACATTGCATTCTCTGTCATTTCAGTTCTTGAACAGGAGTTCAGAAAACCCTAATAACTTCATAAAGTATTGCTATTGTTTCTTTTATTTTTTTAACTGGAGTTGCGAGCCTTGTTTTTCGGCAGATATGTAATGTTAATCCTTGCAGTTTGGTTGGTCTGCATCTTATTTGGATAATCCTTGCAGTTTGGTCTGCATCTTATTTGGATAAAAAAAAAAAAAGAAAGATCTTCTCTATCACAATATTGAAATTAGGAATGGTTTGGAGACTGCTATTGTCTTTCCCGCTGTTTTCTGTGTACCTTTGCATAGCACTTCTATATAACAAAAGTAATATGGTCTGGTGGAGCTGTGCAGGCTAGAAGCTTTTTTTCCCATCGTATGTCAGTTTTTTTGTCGTTATATGTTTCTGTTATTACAACCTGGCCCTTTTGTATTAAGTCACTTTTTTATAAGATACGTGTAAACAGATCAGTAATAACTTCTGCGAATCTAATTGATTTCCCCTTTGCGGTCAATGTTCAATACATTTCTTTGCATGTCTGGTGAATCTAAGTGATTTCTTCTTCATTTGTAGGTCTGATGGCTCTTCAAAATCTGAAGTTCGTAGGATACGAAGGAGAAGCATAAGCATTACACCTGAGATTGGCGATGATATTGTCAGGTTGAAGTCTTTCCATTCTTATTCGTTGGTTTATATAAACTATATTGCTGGAATTACATGCTATTACATTTCTTGATGTTTTGGGTTTTTAGCATTACTTAATCCTTCCATTTTTTGAAAACCATGATTCGTTCTCTTTTGTGAACACGGCAATTAGTTAATGTTGGATGGGTGCATCATCTGCATTAAGATCCCCTCTAGTGTTGGCTAGGGAGGGGTGCTTAAATGCTTATAAAAACTGCTAATTATTCTGTCATACTTCAGTAAATTGTAGCACAATTCGGTCCCTTTGGTAAACATAGTTGTCAAGTATTGTTGTGCTGACTTCATTACTATTAAAAAAATTTCCAAATTTTCTTCCATGTTGTTTAATGAACCTAATTTTTTTTCTGACACACACGGGCACACACTCACACAACAAAGTCGTTGCTTCTTCTTCTTGGTAATTATCAAAATTGTCACCACTTCTATGCCCATCTCTTCATTCTTCTTCCAATATAATGTCATTAAACTCGAGCCAAGAGTGGTGGTGTAATCTACTTTATTTTTCTTATTTTTCTAGCATGTTATGAAATGATAACATTCTTTACTGTGTTAGTGACCTAATTTAGTTTCTATGGATGTTCCTTTTCCATATTCAACTGCCTTAACCTTCTTTATCGTAGAGGTCATTATGCATGTGTATGGAGAATAGTGGAGCAAAGTAAGCTAAATTAACATTATCATCCCTATTTTCTTTTAGTTTTATTTTGTTCTTTGCTATTACTAAATTAAGGAGAGCCTTTCTCGTTTAATCCTACTCGTCTTCTCTTCTGCACTGTTGAACTTAAAAATAAAAATAAAAATAAGAAAAAAAAGGAGGGAATAAACTAATTAATTCACTCGAAATTTTTACCAGCTCCCGCATTTCAAACAGCATCTATTTTGTAATTGTTCCCCCTTGTTCTTAGTTACAAACCCATTAGAAGGCGGCAGTCGTTTGAAACCCTCGCTCCCATCTTCGTCTTTCGCTCTCTACACGCATGACCCCCACTTGTAGCATGACCCTCACTTCCACTCTCTAGAAGGAAATTTCCATCTCGACCCTTTGATCTCTGGTTCGTTTCCTCTGCCTACTGTTCCTCTTCCTTGTTCCTCTTTTCGTCTCTGGTCTTTAAAAATCAAAAGCCAAAGCTTATCCATCCCTCTTTAGTTAGTTAATCCATGTCTCACATGATCTTCCACTTTGTTCCTTCTCCCTATTTGTTGACTATTCTTGTGATATGATCGTGATCAGAGACAGAGAAAAAGCAACGACATGATCACGACATACATAGACCTTCGAAACTCTCTACTTTTTCCTACATCGCACATGATCCAGCCACTGAAGCCTGAAATTTCGTTTCTTCCTCTTACTACCTCAAACCTCAATACAGTCATAGTTAGAGCCAGTCGAGAAGGCAACGAAATTGCTACATAAAAAGATCACTGAAAGCCTTTATTGAAGCCCTCTGCGCCTTAGTTTGCTTTGTTTGTGCGCGAGACCCAACCGAGACCTCCGACCGGAAGAAAGCTGGAGAAACTATTTTTTCTTATTTCTTAATGTTCAAATTACAACCTTCCCCTTATTATATGGGTGATGGTTAGGGAAAACATTATTAAAACTATCATAACTTACCAAAACCAAAACAAACACAAAAGGAAAGACATAATAGAAAAGAGTAAAAATGAATAAAGTTGAATTAGGAAACTTTAAATTCCACACTCCCTCTCAAACTGAGTCCTAGCTTGGTATTCAAATCAACTAAACTGTTGGAAGTAGAGATTAAGTGAAAACATCAACAATTTTAAGATGAGTTAGAATATAGATTAAGTGAATAATGCTACCATTAACTTCATCAGAGATAAAATGTCTATCACTCTCAGTATGTTTGGTCTTGTAATGATGCAGAAGATTCTTTGCAATACTAATAGCAGTTTGGTTGTCATAAAACATCTTTATGTGGTTGACCGTGGAATATCTCAACTTATTTAATAACATTGGAATCCACATTCCTTCACAAAATTCCTTGGTGCTTGGTTGTTTTTCACAACATTTATGGGGTGCCTGATACTCGGTCTCCGCACTAAATTTAGAGACCATTTCTTATTTCTTGTTCTTCTATGTGACAAGATTTATCAATATATATGAACAATATCCAGATGTGGATATTCTGTTAGTGAGTTCTACTGCTCAACTAGCATTAGTGTAAATCTCTGCCTCCATGTTATATGATTTCTTAAACAATAACTTTCTGTCAAGAGGCCTTTTTAAAAAACTTCAATATTCTATACACTATCTCCAAATGTTCTTCATAGGGATTATTCATATGTTGACTCAAAATGCTGATAGAATAAGCAATATCAGGTCTATTATGTGACGAGTAGATTGGTTTTCTCAGTAATCTTTGGTATTTATCTTTTTTTTCATTAGTGTTTATTTTTCTTCTGAATGTAACTTTTTACTGAATATCATAGGAGTCTTAGCAGGTTTACACTCCAACATTTTTATATTTTTTAGTACGCATATGATGTATTTTTTTGAGGATATCACAATTCCCATTTTGGAACTGGTCGCTTGCATGCCCATAGAGTATTTGATGCGAGAGTGACCCAGGAGAGTTTTTGCTATCAATACCAAAGAGATAATCGTCCTAAGCTTGATTGAGGGGAAATGACACGGTGTCGTTTATGAGAAATTAATAATGAGGTGTCCAGGTGATTTAGAGGGAGGATATGCAGTGGGAAACTCGCCAACTACAACCGAGGGTTACCACCTTCAGAAGGAGGCAATTCAGTTGGTCACCCCTATCCATAGCGGTGACTTGCTAGATCGAAGGGATGGAGTAAACCTCTTCCATCATGTGGATTCGGGGATAAAGAACCTCTATCTCGAAGATGTGACCAGAAATATCTGAGAAATCAGAATTTTAAAGTAAAAGTTAATTTCCTTATTTCAATGGCCACATGGATCTGAATAGGCTCATCGTGTGGCTCTGGACCTTAAAATGTGTCTTTGAGTGTCAGGACATCCCACTGGATAGAATGGTGAAGCTTGCTGCCAACAAGTTGAAGAATAGTGTGTTATGTTGGTGAAGAAATTTGAAACACATATGTCGATGTTATGGAAAATACAAAATCACTACTCGGTCCTAGATGAAATGGGAGATGCATCGTCGGTACTTACCAGCTCACTATAGGCTGAAGGTCCAGACACCTGCTTCAAAAGTCGAAGGACCACATCACCGTACAACTCCCACATCTTACAGACAATGTTCAACCCAAAATCTTACGGCTAGAGTACACTCAAAGGAACATCAAGCCAATCTCGTGTGATGAGGGACTAGGTTAGAGAGAAGAATAGGCGGAATCTATCCGCAGTCTCAAATCAGCTCGAGTCAGGAAGTATTTTAAGTGCCATAAATTTTGACATATTGAATCGAATTGCACAACTAGAGGGGAATGGTTTGTTTCACCTAGCAGGGTGTTGAAAAAATGGGTAATTCCACATTGGATACTTAAGAAGGTGAGAACACAAAGGAGTACTAGTTTTCAACTGATGAGAAAAAGATGCATATAGTTTCAGTTAAGCCCAAGAGAGAAACTCCAATTGAATTGATAGTGATTGTCTGAGATAGTTGAGTTCTAGGAACTGAGTCCAGAGGTATGACACCCTAGATAAGAGATATCGAGACTTCAGATCTATAGACTGCTTCCCGAGCTACCCCTACTATGGGAGGTTCAACTTGTCAGAAATGAGGCTCTTTGTGCCACATCGGGAATATATATGGTGTTATTCGGATAATAGATTCAATTCAGCAGTGTGTCTATCATCAGATGTCTAGACAAATGGAATGAACTCAAATCTTAAAATTATCTTAGGAGCTTTATAAGGAAAATATTTTTTTAATTGAGATCCTAGTCCTATTAGAGAAGAAGAAAAGGTCTCTCCTCAGTGATTGCTAGTGAGAGTTTTCCAGCATGCTAGAGATGTTCTAGGCCCCCTCCTGACAGTCTTATTTACCATACATATCCAGTCGAGTACGAGTGGGTGAATCATATTATATTTTACTTGTTTGGGATTTGTCCTGTGAGAATCAACGTTATTATTTAGCTCTTGCTTAGGTTGTTCCAAGAGAGAATTGATACTTATTATTTCAGAATGTGCTTGGGAATGTCCACGTTTACAAGACTGACTTGTCTGGAGATTATGTCATTTCCGCTGCCTTTAGTAGGGTCGGCCTGACTAATATGAGGAGACAAAAGCTTTGAAATGTGAGGTCGAAGCTCCCCTCCAATCTCAGCTTATTGGGAGTGGGAGCGACCTGGGAGAGTTTTTGCGATCATTGCTACAGTACTATAAACTCCTGCGAGTGAGGGTGGCTTGGACCGGGTCCGCGGGGGCCGTCAAATCTAAGCTCCCCTCCAATCTCAGCTTATTGGGAGTGGGAGCGACCTGGGAGAGTTTTTGCGATCATTGCTACAGTACTATAAACTCCTGCGAGTGAGGGTGGCTTGGACCGGGTCAGCAGGGTCTGTCAACCTTTTTTTGACGAGGATTTTCCTCTTATTGGGAGTGGGGTCCACTCCTATTTACCTCAAATTTTTATCAGGATAGTCGACAAAATCTATTTTCCCCGTCGAGGGTTGTATCTGAGGGATTGAGTGGTGCTCTGGTTGTATCTCTCTTTCGAGTGGTGTTTATCTTCCCTATTTTCTCATACTGCTACCCAGAGTAGTTGTTGATGTTGTTCTTCTTGCATTTTCTTCACTTCAGCCCAAGTTCCCTACGATTCCAATGCCTCATCGTAGTTTTGGCCATTTTCTTTAACGTCGTCCTTCTTACGATTCAGTCGCCTACCCTCCTTGCTGTTTCCGACAGCTCACAACCTTCCAGTCGCATCATACTCGCTTCCATCGTCGTTCCAATCCTTCTCTCCTTATTGCTCTTGTTGTCCCATTGTTGTTTTCTTGTTGTCCAG